GATTGTCAATGTTTAAGAAAAGGAAAACGTGATCTACTTGAAGTTTAAACACCTTTTGTCACAACAGAAAATAATGTTCTTGCAGAAGAATGCACTTCTTACTAATTTCTATTATCGTGTATTTTCTCAGAGGTGACAGCCAGTCCCCTGTCCGCGATGGGCGAAGAGGAAGCAGAAGAAATCGAGGATGAGGAAGAAGAGGAGAGAAGGAGAGAACAGGAAGAAGGGGGAGAGGGAGAATACGAGGATAATAAAGACTGTATCATTAAACACCCCGAAAACACAGAGCATCACGATATTGACGTTGGCACCTTGTAGTCTACCTTCTTCAGAACCGAAATTTAAAACTCTTCGCATTCGGCCGCTATATTCGATATATTCGTTTAAAGAAGTCGTGTCAGGTTTTAGATGTACCAAATTTCCAGATGATGACCCTCAAATTACCCCTTAAGTAATAAGAATTGCTGACAGCCTAATTTCTTTCTGAATCCCCGTCGTTTAGTGTATATGATGATGACGTGAACATGTGATAAAAAGCTGATGATACAAGACACAGCTAGGACTGTTCAATGTGCATTAGTACTGTATACGGTAGTTGTTTAAAACATTCAGGAAGTTTTTGCAGGATGGCCATTTTTTAGGGTTGTTTAAATCTTAACAGATGATCTATGCCAAAGAATCTTTGTACAAGAATTATACATCTATTGAACTCTTCCAGTCGGTTTTGCTGACAAGTTTTTCTTTCTTTCTTTTTGATAGTACGATATAGAAAATAATATTTCTATTTTGCGTGATAAACTCAAGACAATGCATGAGACAACAGTTTACATGTACAAAGACACATAGAATATTCTTATAAGCATAATGATTGTGAATCATATAGAATGTAATGCCAATTTATTTCGTAAATTTTAATTTTCAGATGCGCATATGATGTTCAAACACTGATTGGCATATTTTAACATATGATTCTTGTTACCTAAAAAAAATGAAAAAGATAAAATTGTTGATTCGGAAAATTATTTTCAAATATTTACTAACTTGAGTTTTTCCCAAGAGTGAGATTTTATTTTTCGTCAATTATGGCCCTATTATGTTCACAACAAACACTCACGATAACGAGAGCTTTAATTAAGTATACTATATATACAGACAATATACTGGCATTTCCTCGTATTTTTAACAGAGCGTGATGACAAGGTATTTGATTAATCATAAAGAACTGATAGGGACATAATTCATCTCATTCATATACGTAACCATCCACTAAAGTTAACGTGAAGACGAAGTAAAAGTTAAGATTATTATCAGCTGGGGCCAATTGTAGTCAGTTACTGTTAGATTAAACGAAATCATCGCCTGTCGATTATTCGTGAGGATCTTAACTTAGGCCAATATGTTTTGATAAGGTAGCGACGAGACTGCAGTTACATTTAGTGATATTAGAAACCGGTGATAAAAAAATCCTCCTTCTCCACGTCTCCCTTTCAATCCCTTTTTCTCTTTCGTCTTCTCTCTCTCTCTCTTTCTTCCTCTCCTCCCATGATCTCGGAGTGCCAAAGACGCCCACATGACCATGCACAACCTTCTGCCTGTCAAGATTCCTGTGCCTGACGAACAGCACCCAGTCTGGCCGGGGACCCCCTGAGACCCGCCTCCTCCAGATCAAGATTGGTATTGTTGTAATAAGGAAAAAAAAACAACGGTTATTTTGTGACACAGTGATTTTTAGAACAAGACTGCAAGACCGTGTGTGTGGAACTAGCTAACTGTGATGAACCTTAATGTAAACAAAGAAAGGGGATATGTGAACAATCAAGTGAGAGCAGGATGCTAAGAGTGTCGGAAGAAAAATCATGCTATTATTATTACTATTGAGCACTAGGGAACCAAAGAATCCTCATTCATCTCATACGATTCAGATAATTAGTCTGAGATACTTGTAAAGACGATCTCCTTATATACAGGAAGAGAATTTATTTTCTGAAATCATCACAACCTCATTTATCGATTCAGGTATCTGTAACGAAGTATACGATGCTGTGCAACTAATCTTATATATTAGGTATACGAATACACACTTTATGTAGGTTATACGTAATGTTAGGGCGTAGTGTGTAATATGATTATTAGTTACAGTATCCTTCCATTTCTGATGCATCCCTTTAATGTATATTTTCCTTTGTATTCACAAATGAAAATTCTTTGGTTCCATGTGTTATTAATTTATAACAAAAAAAAATTGAATACTGTATCAAAGAGTATACCCTTGTGGAAGCGTGGTAGTGAGCCCTAACCCAGTTTTATATGGTGGAAAAGACCAGACATTCCCATTTTCTGTGGTGACCCTTACTTGAATCATTTGTGACCCAGAAAATTATTAGTGGTGACCTGATTGTTGAAAACTTGAACCTAGTAGTGACCTTGCCTGCCCTTATATATGTACCTGGAGACCGTGCTTGATGAACTGGTCATATGGTCCTAACCAGCCATCATAAAC